CTATTCGCACAATAGACGGATTTCGTCGATTTCTCCTTTCCGCATGGATTCTCCTTTGTATTTCTCGTACACTGCTTAAAATTTAACGTGGACATTCGGTAAAAAACGTCGGTAAACTTTGGTAGGGGCCTTTAAGAGAATCTGTAAAGCTTAGTCCAAGAAAAAATCCTCTGCAGTGCGACACCCAAAGATCGAACTCACTACATAAGAAAAATTGTTTATTTGCTTGATTCTTTAATTCTTTCTTTCTATCTATCGATGCCTGTCGTATCTATCTATCTATCTATCTCTGCCTGTTCGTATCTATCTATCTATCTATCTATCTATCTATCTATCTATCGCTGCCTGTCGTATCTATCTATCTATCTATCTATCTATCTATCGCTGCCTGTCGTATCTATCTATCTATCTATCTATCTATCTATCTATCTATCTCTGCCTGTTCGTATCTATCTATCTATCTATCTATCTATCTATCTATCTATCTATCGCTGCCTGTTCGTATCTATCTATCTATCTATCTATCTATCTATCTATCTATCTATCGCTGCCTGTCGTATCTATCTATCTATCTATCTATCTATCTATCTATCTATCTATCTCTGTTTGTCTGTCTGTCTGTCTCTCTCTCTCTCTCTCTCTCTCTCTATCTATCTATCTATATCTATATATATATATATATATATATATATATATATATATATATATATATATATATATAATAAAAAGGCTTAAACACTAATGTTCCATGATCATAATTTATTCCATTGGAATCGTAAATACGATCCAATTCATCAGACCTACAAATTCAAAAAGAAAACAGAAAAAACAACTCCGGAAATAAAAACAGAATTTAGAGAGAGTGTAAGTGTGAGAGTGTGGGACGAATGTTAGAGCTAAAGAGAGGGGAAACAAACGAGAGAAGGTGGAAGATTAAAACTTAACAGAGGGAAATTTTAGGGAGGTGAGTTGAAGAGGTTTAAGTGAGAAAAACATGAATGTTGTTGGATGTCTCATACATTAAAGATACATTTCGTGGTGACATACACACCATAGACGATCTAATGTTAAAGATCAGAATAAGAGGGAGGGAGAGGAAAAGAAAAGAAGAAGAGGTGGGGGAGAGAGATGGGGTGATGGGAAACTAAAACTGAAGGGAATTTACTGAAAGGGCCGTTGTGTAATTAAGAAAATTTGACAAAATTAATACCGACTATAGGTTACAAATCAAAAGTAAACATATGAAAAATAAATATAACGATTATCTAATCTAGCAAGAACCTATATTTTTATGTTCAAAAATGTGTATATTTACCACTAATATTGCTATATATATATTGTATATTTACCACTAATATTGCTATATATATATTGTAGATTTACCACTAATATTGCTATATATATATATATATATATATATATATATATATATATATATATATATATTTGGTTGGATAGATGTGAGTTTGTGTCCCTGGGTTTCACGCTTTAGCGATCGTCAGACAAACCCTGACGATCGTGAAACCCAGGTGAAACCCAGGGTCACATCTATCCAACCAAATATGTTAACTCTATCTCTGATATTGAGCGCTTTCTAATAAGTACCGCGCATATAATATATAAATAATTATACATATATATATTTATTTATATACACTTTTCACACACACATACACATATATATATATATATATATATATATATATGATGAAATATATATCTTTAAGGCGTGCTATATTTATGGGATAAAATGTTCAATATCAGAGATAGAGCGTGTGTAAATATAAAAGTTAGCATTGAAATCAGCACTTTTTGTACTGTATATATATATATATATATATATATATATATATATATATATATATATATATATATATATATATATATATATATTTAAAATTGCGTATCTCTGAGACCTAATTGAATAATCAGGGTAAATCCACAGGCTTCATTTTTTTATTTTGACTTGTTCTTATCTGCTTTGGAATTTTAAAATAACCAGTTATTTACTATCGCCTGGTGAGACAACTTTAATGCTGAAACATGAAAGCTTTGTGTAGCGATTTTAACATGGTTTTGTTTTAATCTCATATAATAAATAATATTAAGCTCTACTCTATATTGAGTCCTTTTAAAAAATTAAATTCTACAGACTACGGAATTATACTTTATTTATTCATATGCCATTTTTTAACAAACGTTTTAGCATTGACAAGCCCCAGGGAGATCATCCTGAAGGACGAAATCGCCATCGAAATGGGGTACAATTGACTTTCATTTTTATGTAATTCATATATATATATATATATATATATTATTAATAGAAATCTTATAAGTATAAGAAACTATACTCGCTCGGAAAACCTTCGGTTTATTGATTTGCAAATAATCAAACCAATACCAAAGGGAAAAAAAGGTATAAAAAATAAAGAAAGAACCAAGAACATCTACGTTAGCCGAAAATAATCATCTAGCATACGAGTTCAAGGCCCAAAGAAAAAAACCCGATGCGAGTACCCAAAATAACTAAATAAAGTGCCCAATACAATGAGTAGAGCAGACCTAGTTAAACCTAGAGTGCCAGACAAACCTACCAAAGTTTCACCTAAGCGGATCCTCAGGAAATATATATATATATATATATATATATATATATATATATATATATATATATATATATATAACAAGTTCGATTAAAAAGAACTGACAAGGTATGTATGTTTAATTGTTTATATTGTTTTTTCCTCCAATTTTTGAGTAAGGATCGTGCTCGAACACTCAATATCTTATTCGAAAATTGTCAAAATACAATAGAATATGAAACAAACCTACCTTTGCGGTTCTTATTAATCAAACTTCTTTGGAAGAATACTTTCTGCCTAAATATAACAAAATACACACACACACACACGCATACATACATACATATATATATATATATATATATATATATATGATAAATTATAGTTTTAAGGCATGCTTCATTCAAAGTGATCAATATTAGGAATACAGTATATAAAATTGGACACTCAAGTCAACACAATCGGCGGCATTCTATTCATGATTAAACGCCATCTTCAGGCCATTAGTAAAAATTCGTTTAAGCAATTGTTGTGACCAGGTAAATGGTTAAGAAATAACAAAAAAAAAAAAAACAGGGTTGAAGATATATCATATATTAAACACTAAGTACAGCAAAAGAGTATTACACGACTAGTGAGTGGATGTCGGTAGACCAGAGTTCAATCTACTCGACTGTTCCCCAACCCCAAGGCCTTCTCTCCTACTAATTTTATAGTAGGCGGAAGAGTTCAACATAGAAATCAACAATAGCAATGAAGCATTTTGTCACCGCTGAGTGTTGACCTCAATGTACAACATATATATATATATATATATATATATATATGTGTGTGTGTGTGTGTGTGTGTGTGTGTGTGTGTGTGTGTGTGTGAATGTTATAATATATAATTTGCTCGCACAGCAAATTGGAGAAACTAGTTTGTAACAATATCTTTGACGTTTCAACATCACAGAGCAGACCCTGAGTTTTCTTAATTCCTGAGGGTTAGTTTGTACTCTCAATGAGGCTCCTTACCTCGGACGTCCATTTGGACTGAAACTCAGTCTAGAGGCTGGGAAATACCCACTCCACACTTCCCATTCTCAACAGAGTTTCAAGGCGTTTGCACGGCCTTGTGGGTGATGAGTTGTCTTCCACCCTAAAGCCCCTTCCCCATAAACAAAATTTTGTCATCCTTTCGATATTCTATCGCTACTTTCACGGTAGATTTTTCATTCCTTGGTTCCACTAGTTCAGACATTCACCGCTAGGACCCACCAGTCTACCCCATTCCCTTTATATTCCATTTGTGAGGAGGAAGTTCCACTCAATCAGCTTCTTCCTACATTGTGGAATTGTTGTGGCCTTGTTAGGGCCAGAAATAAAGATGCAAGAGAGGATTTGAGTTAACAGAAACAGTAATACAAACATATACAAACGAGAATGTTACAGCAAAATTGTTTGGTCCGACTGTTAGAGCTGACTGCTAGAGACTTCCCTCTCCAAAAAGCAGTACCTACTCCTATTTATAGGTGGGAGAGTCCATGCGTGCGTGGGTAAATTACTATAACAGGAACCGATACCCGATAGGATATTTCCCCGATCACTAAAAATCTTTTTAAATCTAGTGTCAACTGTTGTCTCTCCTATATTTCCACATAGACACCTCTTGCTCCTTCTGTAACAGGGTACTGATTTGAATGGTTGAGAAAAAAATAAAACGACACATGGCACAGTGGATAAAGGCGTTGGTTAGATCCAGTGACAGACCCAAAGAAGGTGAGTTCAATACCTGGTTAAGGCAGTGGAGAACTTTCAGAGGGAAAATTAGCAGGAGATAACTGATAACTGACATCCATCAAACATGGCACGTGGAACTAGAACAGTCTACCCCAGTGATCGAAATAAAGGGTTCAGTTCGAAATTCCAATCACCTGAAGAAGGCCGGAGCGTACAACGGCCCAAAGGTTGTGACAAATATGGCGACAAAGATGAGGACAATAGTCCGACTAATGTAAATACTGTACATAATACCTCATCTCAGAAATATAGACAGACTCCGAAAGGAAGCGAGTTAAGAATTATGTTTTAAACAATAAAATTAATTTATGAACGGTTCCAATCCGTTAAACTTTTTTGCACATCCTTACGGCAAACTTCTACCTTCTGTTACTACTGGGCTTTATATTGGGTGAATAATTGTAAAATAAATGAAAAAAATATATGAATTGTATAAGTAATTTTATATGTGACTTTAAAGCATGGAACGGTTTCCCGTAGCTTTACAGAAAAAGAGAATGAGTCTATTATGGAATATTTTTCTAATATATAAATATTTTATACACACTTTAAAATGTATTCCCTCGTGGTGAAGCATATTTAATACGAGTTATTTCTGTTGCATAATAATTTGAAATCTTGAATACAGATATATTTAAATATAGCAGTCCATAAAATGAGAGGATGAAGCTAACAAAAATTTTATTTACGATATTGAGGACATTAAGCTCCAAATAATGTTCTAGTTCATCCAAAAGTTTTGTCCAGATGTGCAACAACATTGTCTAAAATTATAAAAATAAAATGAATAGTTAAACAGACAGACTTTGCTGCTTGAATTTAACAAAACACATTTCATTGAATTCTGGGCATATATATATATATATATATATATATATATATATATATATATATATATATATATATATATATATATATATTTGTGTGTCTGTGTTACTAAACAAAAAACAACGATGTTGGTGTGACTAACAGAAAACTTGCAAGACGACCTAACACCTTAGACAAGAAAAACTCCCGAACAAGAAAGAAAGGTTAAAAGGCAAGCACCTGCCTACGTAGTAAAGTGCTCAACGCCTAGACGATACAGAGCAAAAAACGTTTGACAACGTCAGCACTTAACAAAGGACAGCTCGAGCCGTTACTCAAGTTTCACGCTCTCGCGACCTGAAGACAGAAGAAGTGTTTTAGTATTTTATTCCTATAACAATAACACACCTAATCAAAGGAAAAGATAATAAAAT